CGCTGAAGAACCTGGAGATCCAGCACACCAAGGTAAGCCGGGCCCCAAGCACTCCGCGCCGGGCTGGGGGTGCCCCAGGCGCCGGGGTGGGGGGGCTCCGCTTCTCCCGGAGCAGCCCCCCGGCGGAGGCTGGCTGGGTATGGTCGCCAAAAGTGGGGGGCAATGGTCCCTCGTGTGTTTCGTTCCCTGTGCGGAATAAATTTTGTTGCGTGCACGAATGTGCACCACCCAAGCAACAGGTGGTGCCCGCTGTGTATGGGCTCTGGGCGCTGGCTAATTAGCCGGGTGGCATTTGAATCTCTCCTGGGTGGCTGCCCAACCACTGGGCTTCCAAGGAACACTGTTGGGGGGGGGGGGTGCCTGTGTGCAGCCCTCCCTGCAGCAGTTCCCAGTCAAACTGACTTGACAATCTTGTCAGTAAAGGTCTGTCCTAATTGTAAGCTGACTTGAAAATAATACAGTGCCAGTGCAGGATGAACCGGGGCCTGACCAAGCATAGCCTAAACCCATATTGAACACTAGGAGAGTTTTCTGTGTGCTCCAGGAACCTTTCAGGCAGGACGCTTATTTTTATACCGTTTTTGCACCTTTTATTGCATTATTACCGCAAGGCTATTCAAGAGTAAATGGGAAACTAGGTCATTTCCTCCTCAAAACCTGGGTTTGCTAAAACTTTGCTTGCTTTTTTTGTTATAATTCTTCTGTGTTGGGAGTCCCACTCCTACAGAAATGTGTGTGTTTGCCCTTCCCATTGTTGCAGAATACAGATGTCTGGTGCTTTTAAAAAGTTTCAGAGGGGTGACTGTGTTGATCTGTAACTTAAAACAATGAGTAGTCCTTTGGCATCTTAGAGACTAGCAAACATATATAGTATCATGAGCTTTTGTGGGTTAAAAACCACTTGACCAGATGAGCTGGGGTGGAAGTTTAACCATGAAAGCTCTTGATACTATATATTTTTGTTAGTCTCTAAGGTGCCACAGGACTACGTGTGTGTGAATTTTTGTGTGCGCGCGCTTTTAATTAACAGCAGGCTTTTTTAGTGTTTGCTGTTGATTTCAGTGTAATCCTTATTGATCATGCAGTGTTTTACTTTTTGTTGTTGTTGTTTTGTTAGCCTGATGTTCCCCACTCTGGCTCAGGGCTCTGTTTTATTTTAATAGACCGGAAGCTTATTTTGTGGTATTTTTAGCAAGTGGAGAAAGGTGTCACTCCTATGAGTGATACAAAAATGCATGTAACGTAACTAAATTTGTCCTGCCAATGCAGACATGACAACTGCATCATGGAAATCAAGTGAAATTGATATTTGGGGTGTGTTCTCTCCCAAAGTTTTGGAATCCTAATGATGTAGCAATTTCTGCTACAAGCTGAAGTTATAATTTTCCTCTTCTGCACATTAGACCTGCTTCAGCACCAAATAAAGTTGCACGTGTGTATTCCTGAACTTGTACTACTTGATCACTCTGTTTTCCATGAGTTGGCTCTCGAAGAAAATGTTTTTTTTAAGTGTGTCATCCTGGGTCACTAACTGGATGATGCCGTGTTCCCAAATTAGTATGTTGGGCATACGAGAGCGGGTTTGTCAAAATACAGAGCACTTTTTGGAAACTACAGAGCCCTCTCCAGATATCTGGATAGAGTGAAGCTGTGAGGAGGGGTGTGTGGAGGGGGTGGGGAGAAAGCTTCCTTTAAAACATTTTCCCCTCTGTCGATTCAGTCCTACTCCCATTATAGTTACAGAGTAGGGGTTGCACTGGCTTCATTGATGGCAGGTTCAGACCCTATATTTATGTTAAGGAAAAGGGAATTAGAAATCAATGCAGTAAGGTTCAGAGTGCTCTCCGCGTGTACTGGAGGAACTAGGAGTGAAGGATATTCAGCAACTTTTAGGGTTAGATCCACAATTGTTGGCCATGCTGCTCTCACCCCTCTCAAAATATCTGATTTTTACACTTGGGAAGCAGGGGGAGCTTAACATTACATTTTAAATTAAAAATTAAATTAAAATTAAAGCTTCTAGTATCCTTGCTAAAGTCTGGACTTCCATGTAAAAACACAAAACCAAAAGTCCAGTCAATTCTTAGGCTATCAATAGAGCTTCCCTTTAAAACACTAAAGCCAAACCATTAAAATGTAAAACTTCCGAAGCCCTTGTTATCATTCCTGATTTTCCTGCTTCATTTTTGATATCCAAGAGCTCTGTTCATTGCTGGGTTCTAAGGTGCAGAGTTGAGTCCTTGAAGAAATCTGCAACTTTTGTAGGCAGTTCTGGTAGTTAACACCCTATACTTCATTCACTGGTATCCGAACACATTTGGGTTGGAAGGAGGGACTCTTCAGGTTTCATCTACGCTATTGGATCTTTGCTTTCTAATTTCATCTATGCAGCTGGGATAACCAGACTACTGGGGGTTTAGAATGTTTTAATTAATATCAAATTATTCTTGCTTCCTAAATAATATATGAAAGACATAATATAATTGTATATCCCAACTGTGAGAGGGCAAATAAAGCTGAGCCCCATCAATTTCTCACGTTGAATCCAGGTATGCAGCGAAGGAACCAAATGAAATTAGCCATTCATTAATAATTTGTCAGCAGATAAGACTTCTTCTTAAACCCACAACTTTCCCTATGTTGTTGTTGGTTTTTTTTTTAAAGTGCTTTCTGCTAACCTGGAACTTGCATTTTCTGCCGCTGATTTCAGAATGGCGTAATGTTTACTTTGGACATTATTTACTAACTTCGCTGGTGGTTACGTGTGAGATGGCTGAGGAAGAATAGGCCCCGTAAAGATGTCTAGGCAGTCAAATAGACTGTCTCAAAAGTGGAAAAGGGCACTAATTAGAATACAAGTTCTGGATCGATGCTCAGATCATATACTCTGATAAGGAAAATTATGGGCAATATTAAGCTTAGAATGATGTCAAATGTACGTTGATCAGAGTACTCTGCAAACTGTATTGACTTGTCCCAGAAGTTTGCAGTGGTCTCCCAACAGCACCCATCCCTCTGTAAAGAGGAATCTTATTGTCCATTCTACTAGTTAATGATCTGGGGATATCATTTCAAAGCCAAATCTTGTATTGATGCCTTTAGGAAGCAAAGATCATTCACAAACGGTCTTTCCAATATATAACGTCCCTAGAGATGAAGATGAAAGATTGAGCATATTGCTCGGTACAGTGCCAGTCCATGTGACGACTTGTGAAAGAGCCAAACTTTAGTTGTAGGAAGCTGAAAAGAATGTTGGCAATTCTGTTAGTCCTCTTTAGTCAACCAGTCGCTGGAGTGATTTCCTCCTTTCGCCAGCTCCCTCATCCATAATAAATGCTAACGCATAGACGCAGCAAAATGGTGCCCCATTCATTAGCCGCTGTAAACATTCCATTGTAGTAACATGGGTGTCCCTCCGTAGCGCTCTCACGTTTGCAGTGAGATGTCCTTGAATTTGCCTTTGTCTTCTATAAACCTTCTCTCCCTTTTACTACTTTTTAAATGTTTGCGTCCAGAATGTTGGGATTGTAATTCAGAGCTTCAGGCTGCTTTAAACGTCCCATGCGGAGAATTCTCTTGCAAACTTCGTTTCGGTATATTGTCTTACTGAGGATTGCAGTCACGGTACCCCTGTCGCCTTCCCCCGCACAATTGAAAATCCAGGAGAGGTGGATCTAAAAACCAACTTTAAGATGCATATGCTTCTAGGAAGCATCTTCCAGTATGTGTGCCACACGCTTTGCAGGAGTATTCTGAGAAAAATATTAATTTCAATACTAATGTGAAGGAGTAATTATGTTTTGAAACGGGCGAGAAAAGAAACCATGCCCATTAAACTGGATGACATTTGGAGTGTGCAATAAGTGCAGGATTGACTGGGTTTTTAGGGTTTTTTTTGTGGGGGGGTTTTTTTTTTTCATTGTAGGTCTGAATTCTAGCGTATGCCAGTACATCGCATTGGAAAAGTGAAACGCTTTTGTTCAAATAAAGTGATGTACTAGCTTGCAAAGATTAACCAGGGCTCTTTATCTAAAGAACTGTGTTTAATCTCATTGTATTTACAAAGAATCGTTGTTAAAAACATCATCAGATAATGCCAAGGTGGGTCAAAAGAGTGCAGCTGGGTGCTGAATCAATCCATGATACACTGGTGTCTATACAGAGTTCATATAAATATCACTATTTTAATCATTTTTAAAATCATTTCAGTGCATTTTTAGTTATGCACCGGAGAGACTCTCCACAGCAGCAAGAATCTTTGTCTTCTCTAAAAAGGCAATATTTTGAAAGGCTTAATGCTATTTTATTTGCAGAGGAGAATAAATTGCCATATCCATCAGACATAACGTGTCTGATGGATATTGACAAAGACGAAAGACTAGCAAAGTGCTAGGGTGTGTGTGAGTTCCTTGAGTGAGGTAGCATTGCAAGACGGGGTCCACGCTGCCCATTCACTGGCAGAAAACACTAATGGAGAAACCACTGGTGAGTAGCAGCGTATAACCTCATCCATGTTGGGTAAGGCTTTGAACAGAACAAGGAGCTATATGGCTTGAAGTATGCAGATTTCTCTTTGTGTCTGCCTGCTGTACCCAAGGAGATTGATATGAAATAATCACCGGTTGTTTCAGAAGTCTGAATCACAAGTTACGTGGTGTGGACTTGATCCTGTGTTCTTTGGTCAATCACAACTGATTTTGCTGGACCTTCTTTGTATGAGTACTTCTTTTTGGCTTGGTTTGCCAGTTAAAAAGGAAACAACGATTAATATCGGGGCCTAATTCTGCAAAGGTGCTAAATGCTCTTGACTCCTGTTGGCTTTGGTGGGTCTTCCAATCCTTGCTGCATCTGACCCATAGAGAGAGACACCTGAGACTTCCCATGGTACATGCAAGTTGACTATTTTTCAATCCTTGCTGCATCTGACCCATAGAGAGAGGCTTCCCATGGTACATGCATGTTGACTATTTTTCTTTCTCTTTTTTTTTTTCTTCTTTCTTTCTTTTTGACCCCTGCTAGATATTTATTAACAACGAATGGCACGAATCCATGAGTGGCAAGAAGTTTCCCACCTACAATCCCTCCACGGTTGAGAAAATCTGCGATGTAGAGGAAGGCGATAAGGTAAGTTTCTCGGAGGAAAACATACTCGGTACATTTTTTTTCCCCTATAAAATTTGGTTAGTTGTTAAAAGCTTGTGGAAGCTAAACATTGTGGCATATTTGTTCAAACGGATTCGAGAGAAGGGGATCAGTTACGTCCCATGCCAATAGAATCCTATGAGCTGCTGCTTTGCTTGCGATGGTGATTGCTGTAATGGAATCCTCGGTGATATCAAGTATTGCTTATCAGATTTAAGGTTTAGAAATAAGGATTAAACTATTATTTGCCCTATACAGCCCTTCCGCCCCCCACTTTCCCCACTTATTTGATGTAATTCAGGCCCCGAGCTTGCAAATGCTTATTCACCTGCTTAGCTTTACACATGCGAGCAGGCTCAGTGATTTCACAGGCTTTACTCACCTGTGTAAAATGGTGCGTGTGCGTGCGTGCATGTGCAGGGTTGGGGACAGAGCTCAAGACCAAAGTAGGAATGTGTGGGTCTGTGGTTTTTAAAGATCCTCTTCGGGAAACTTCTTGAGACTGAACCTCCTTGAAGTCTGGTCTCTTCTCCATGGAGGTGCATTAGTCCCATTGACGGGCGTTGATCAGTCAAACCAAAGGATGAGTGGGAGCCCTCAACATTGAGTATTAGGGTTGGTATTAAGAACTTCATAGTGCATGCCTTGGGCGCACAAAGCTCAGATTGGAGTCCGTGGCGCTAGCCGGGCTGCTATCCACCCATGCCACAACTCCCCGCAAACATCGTTCTTGTGGAGATGCTGTCGGGAGAAGGACAGGTCCAAGAGTTTGCCTCTTCCATCGGAAGGCTGGTTCCGTGCTCCCCTGTCCGTTGTTAGTGGTGGGGTCTCGCCCTCATGTGGTGGAACGAGGTCCCCTCCTTAGTAACAGTGGGACAGGGAACATTTTAAGCACAGTGAGGATCATCCCTTCTATGGTCAAGTTACGTCCAACAGCTCTAGAACAGGGAAACGGAAGGGCCAGAGGTTCTCTGTGGGAAGAATGCCCCTCCTCATCCCATTGGCGTCCCTATGGGTTATGATGCTGTTTTTAGGGTTGGCTCTTCTGCAATCCAAAACCCCAGGAAAGCCCATCAAACTGGACAGCTGGGACAGTGTACTGAGCACCCTCCCGGATGTGCCAGACAGCTACATCAAAAAAATAATCCTGTGAAAACCTGATCAGATGCCTACCCTGGCTATCGATAACAATGGGGTGCGGTCTCTGACTATGGGAGAAGGCAAGTCTGGGTCACGGTGCAGGCTCACAACTTGCTTAATGCTGCCACATCCAAGGAGAAGGACCCCTCAGAATAAGGAGTAGCCTCCATGGCTGCAACGTCCATGGCCAGGAGACTGGGGAGGCAGTTGTAAAGTGGCTAGATAATTCTGTGGGATTACGTGTACTTGGAGATTCAGTTTTTATATAGCATGTCGTTTGCATCGAATTATAATTACTCCATATAAATGGAGGGGTGAGGCTAATTCTGATGTAATTTTATTTTACTAGGCAGAAACCCTGGCTCCGCTACAGTTACATGAGCTACGTGCCTCTCAAGCAGTTACAAAGCCGTTGCGTGGGTATTTCAGGCCTGCTTTTCATGCCTCTGTTGAAAGAAAACTGTGGAGCAAAACCAAAAAAGCAACTTACTTTCTCCCCTTGATTTTTCCTGTTTCGTTTATGGGACTGTCGTGGGAAAACTTCCTTCCCTGGGCGCGCACGCTCGCTCTCAACTCCGGCCTCTAGGGATCAAGCTGTGGAAGTTCGGCGGGGTTCTGTGGGAATCAGGCATGCAGGCTAATCTCTGTGCGGCTGGGGCAAATCTTCTGGCCACAGAGGCTAGGTCTACCCTGCAGTATAGAAGATCTGGGGCTGGCCTGGGTCAGTGGGTTTGGGATGTGCAGATTGCAGCATAGATCTTTGGACTAAGGCTGCAACCCAGTCTCAGAGACCGTCCCCCATGAGGGGGTCTTAGAGCTCCTCCGGTGCAGCCTGAGCCCAAAGGTCTACATTGCAATGTTCAGCCCCACAGCCAGAGTTAATTGCTCCATGCTCTGAAACTCACTGCCGTGGGGTTTTAGTGTCGTTTAGATGTACCCAGAGAGTCTCTCCTTGCATGCTTAAATCCTACCTGCAGACACTCCTGCTGTATGTGTGGGGAGGGAGGCGTTGGGCTAGGCTGGGGCCAGATTTGTTTAAAAACGTGTGTTTGAGGCCCTAACCTGGGTGTATTCGCCTGAGTTTTACTTCGTAAGATTGGGTCTGTTAGCGCCTGAAAACAACACTTGGGGACTGGTGGCTGCAAATTCACATGATCTGGAGCCACAGAGACGTGTGTACATGGAACCCCTGGAGAAGAACGCAGCCCCAGTTTAATTCCCCCCCACCCCAGATCTCTGGGCGTTCCATACAGACAGACGCCCTGGCCAGAACTCTTGGAGGGGCTGAAGTCGCCAGCGCTGCCACTGCAGAAGCGGCTTATGCGGCCGCAGCTCACCTGACTCTAGATCGTGGGGGCTGGATTCCTTCCCCCTTCCCCTCAGCGTGAGTCCCCCCACAAGATGCCTGTGTGCTGAGGCTGAATTTGGCCACTAATAATTTGGTGATGACAGTTGGCTTTGGGGCTGTAACAGGGCCAACTTATTAGCCTGGGAGTAAAGGTTTTGTTTTTCTTCAGTTAGAAAATTAAAATGGAATTGTTTGCAGGGGCTTGTCAGAGGAAAGGGAATAGAGGGAGATCTTGGGTGGGAGAGAGGAGCTGGCAGTGAGACTCGGCCAGTGATAACGCCAGCATACAAATAAGGGCCGAGTGTTAATGTCTGTTGGGTTGAGACCAGGCATGGGAATAACGAGTCTGACTAATGTACAGGGCAGCTGCATTACTGTGCCGCATGCAGGGCTGTTACCCACCCTACCGGCCCCGGAGCTCAGCATCCAGACATGGCAGATCAGCTCCGTGTAAAGCACACGACCTATCCCCAGTGCCATCGCAGAAAACGATCTTCGTGTTTCCCTGTGGTTGAAATTAACTCGTGCGCCAAGCGCTGACGCGGGGGTGTCGGCTTTGCTTTGTCTTTCTGCGCATGGCAGAGTCCCACCCTGGAGTGGAAAATCTGCAGGGTTGGGTACTGGCTCGAGGCGTCCGTGCCGTTCCAGAGGAGCCCGCCTTGTGATGAAGTGTTGGAAGGGTGTCCGTTGCCATCCATGCCACCCACCCTTGTGTTTGAGGGATGGTTTGAGGTTAGGCGCAGTTACAGACTGGGCTGCTTACTACCGGCCAGGCTGGTGATGCCGCCTATAGGAAGGTGGCCCGACGTTGCCCATTGTAACCCCTCCACCCTCTGTGTTCAGTTTCTTGTAACTTTGCCCGGTGTTAACTGCTTGGGCCGAAGCTTTCCATGATGAATGTCTGCCTCAGTCTGAACGTTTTTGGAATGTTTCATAAATGGTTGACTCATTTCCCCTGGAAGAGAGCGGGGAGGGGAGAACGCGTTGTTCACACAATTCGCACAGCCGCTTCATTGCGACGCTCTAGCGCCTTCATGATTTGGCACTTGGCGGCGGGCTCAGGCAGGTGCTTGTTGCTGGGCCAATGGAGATCTCGCTCAAGTTTGACTGAAGCATTCACAGACGGATTCGTCTGTGTGGACATGCTCAGTCGAGACTTATCCGAGTTTGGCAGCTTGGAGAGTCTGCCTCCACTAGGCATGTTCTGTCCCCTCTCAGGAACTACATCCGTCACATACAATCCAGAGTGTGTGTGTGCTCCCCTCACACATCCTAGAGCTGCCCAGGGCTTTCCTTGCCGTAGCTCCTCTGGATTCGGGAACGAAGAGTCAGGAGACAGTCGTCTTATGGACTCGATGCTCCACCTGCTGGTGCCCTAGCAGCGAGAAGGGGGAAGAGGCCTGGTTCCAATGCAGAGATGAGGAGCTGGACCTGTGAGTTAGAGTATTTACAGAAGGGGGGAAGAAGGGATCAGACTGGACAGAACCATAAAGGTCCCGTGGGGACGAAAATAGTTTTATGATCTAGTTGGAGACTGTATCACTGCTGCATACACACAAGGGGGCTGCATTAAGGCTTCAGGAAATGTTTAAGTCTGACATTGCCTGACTTTTTAGCATTTGACTCGGCCCACTGTGTGCGCGATACTAAATAAATCCCACACCGATTGAAACGGAGTTGTTAGGTCTTGTGCGTCCCTCCTTTTTGTCTTTTGCACCTTGACAGCTATGATGCTGTCCTTCTGTCGCGCACAGTGCCAGTGGAGTGTGACATCTGTGCAGGGTCGGATTAAGGGGGGGGGCTGGCTAGCCAGGCAGCTGCCCGGGGTGCCAAACTATGGGGGGCGCCTGATGGCAGCTGTAAGGGGCACGCAGCGCCCCTTATAGCTTCCATCAGGTGCTGTGTGCCTGGCTCCCAGACTGCAGGCTGCAGCAGCTCCCAGCGGCCACCCTACAGCGGCCGCCCGGGCCGGGCACGTGCGTCCTGCCACTGCCAGCTCCGCGCACCCTCCCCTACGCGCCGGTGGGGCCGCACATATGCCCTCCCCCAACCCAGGGCACAACTAAACTGTCTGCCTGGGGCGCCAGAATGGCTCGGTCCGGCCCTGCACCTGTGCACTGTAACGCACTGTTCCGAGTCCCACCCTTTCATGCTGGGTCACCATGGGGGGGGGGATTAAGAAGGGAATTTCAGCCTGTCAGGGCTGTTCCCCACTCTGGCACTCCGAGGGCAGAAGGTGGGGGCCTGCAAGAGACCTTAAATACCTTGCTTCTATAGGCTCTGCTTACAAAAGCACTCCAGAATCACAGATGCCTTGGCTCTGTGGAGGGAAAAGACTCCAAAAGCTGCCATCAAGTGATTTAAGGGGGGGGGGATTAAGAAGGGAATTTCAGCCTGTCAGGGCTGTTCCCCACTCTGGCACTCCGAGGGCAGAAGGTGGGGGCCTGCAAGAGACCTTAAATACCTTGCTTCTATAGGCTCTGCTTACAAAAGCACTCCAGAATCACAGATGCCTTGGCTCTGTGGAGGGAAAAGACTCCAAAAGCTGCCATCAAGTGATTTAACCCTGGGAGAAGAAAAAACAGGAGGGGACACATGAATTCCTTCTCCAAGCTCTTCCCCCTCCCCTCCTCCCCCCCAAGAAAGCATGAAAAAAGAAAGAGGAAAAATAAGCTGCAGTCTCTGGTAGCTGACCGCTCAGTCTTAGGCAGGCAGACATACACAGACACCCCCTGTTACTTTCTAGGACACAAGGATCAAATCATTGCCTTAAAAAGTTGATTTTATTGACAAAAGATGTACTTGATAAAGCATACTTGGTTGCTAGGTGTTATATAGCAACTGAGTAAAACAGATTAAAACACAGAGAATCTCTGGCGACAGCTCTTAGATAGTGAATGATGGAGGGAAGGCCTGGGATTCACACACACAAGTTTAAACCGAACAGATTAAAACACAGAGAATCTCTGGGGACAGCTCTTAGATAGTGGATGATGGAGGGAAGGCCTGGGATATTCACACACAAGTTTAAACCAGTCAAAATAAAGAAAAATACTCTTTTCCCTCTACTCATGATCCATGCTGATCCATACTTTAAGGCCTAGCTCACTCCCATGTCCAATATTTCTTATAGGCATGGTAATTCTGATTACTGCATCTGCTCCCTCCAGCCCTTACCTTGTCTCTCGTTGTGTGATTCTAAGTTATCTAAATACAATTCAAATTTCAGCGCTGTATTCCCATTGGTTCTTCTGGGCCCCAGCCAACACCTTTGCTAGCTACCTGAGTTTAGCCCCTGTGTCACCAGGTGCTGACCAGCACTCCTCCTATCCATCACACAGCCTTACCTAAGGATTTCCTTGCTTGTGCTGGTTTGACTGCAGAGGTAGCTGAGTTTGTTGTGTGCACGTTATATGGCGTTTCTATGGAGGTATTTTGGGGGAATTCTTCTGCTTGCACAAATAATGACTCTGTAGAGTCGCCCGCATGCCCAGTTTTGGAAAACAATAATGGTCCCTAGTAATGCTGTGCTCTGTAAGATTGCTCCTAGCGTGACTTCTGGAAATGGCTGGATTGTTAGTAATGATGATGATCTCAGTGGAAAATTGTGAAGCCGGTGAGGGCTAAGTCACTTGTTTTGTGATGCTAAGGCATAGGATAGTTGGCACAGGAAGGGGGCTGACAGCAAGGGGTTTAGTAACAGTATTGAGTAACAGTCTGATTTCATATCCATTTGCCTTTCTCTCCTACCTGTGCGTGCAGTGTGTAAATAGCCAGGATCTGTTCTGAATTAGCCCTTGCCTCTTGTATTTTGTGCATTGGTCCTTTCTGCTGGCTGATGCAAATATACATTTGGGTCTAGACTGTGGTTTTAAGCACTACCCCAGTGAATCATAGAATCATAGGGTTGGAAGGGACCTCAGGAGGTCATTGAGTCCAGCCCCCTCATCAAAGCAGCGCCAATACCAACTAAATCATCTTCGCCAGGGCTTTGTCAAGCCTGGACTTAAACACCGCCAGGGATGGAGAGTCTACCCCCTCCCTAGGTAACCCATTCCAGTGCTTCCCCACCCTCCTAGTGAAATAGTTTTTCCTAATATCCAACCTGGACCTCTCCCACCACAACTTGAGACCATTGCTCCTTGTTCTGTCATCACTGGGAACAGCCTTTCTCCATCTTCTTTGGAACCCCCCTTCAGGAAGCTGATATCAAATCCCACCCCCACCCTTGTCTCAGGCTAAACAAGTCCAAATTCCTCAGCGTCTCCTCATCAGTCAAGTGCTTCAGTCCCCTAATCATTTTTGCTACCCTTGCTGGACTTTCTCCAATATGTCCACATCCTTTTTTGGTGAGTGAGTGTGAGAGAGAACTGGATGCAAAACTCCAGATGTGGCCTCACCAGAGCCGAATAAAGGGGAATAATCACTTCCCCAGATCTGCTGGCAACGCTCCTCCTAATAAGAACGGCCGTACTGGGTCAGACCAAAGGTCCTTCTAGCCCAGTATCCTGTCTGCTGACAGTGGCCAGCACCAGGTGCCCCAGAGCAGGTGGACCGAAGACAATGATCAAGCGATTTGTCTCCTGCCATCTCTCTCCAGCCTCTGACAAACAAAGGCCAAGGACACCATTGTATCCCCTGGCTAATAGCCTTTTATGGACCTAACCTCCATGAAATTATCTAGTTTCTCTTTAACCTCTGTTATAGTCCTAGCCTTCACAGCCTCCTCTGGCAAGGAGTTCCACAGGTTGACTACCCGCTGTGTGAAGAAGAACTTTCTTTTATTAGTTTTAAACCTGCTACCCATTAATTTCATTTGGTGACCTCTAGTTCTTCTATTTAGGGAACTAATAAATAACTTTTCTTTATCGGCCCTCTCCACACCACTCATGATTTTATAGACCTCTATCATATCCCCCCTCAGTCTCCTTTTTTCTAAACTGAAAAGTCCCAGTCTCTTTAACCTCTCCTCATATGGGACCCGTTCCAAACCCCTAATCATTTTAGTTGCCCTTTTCTGAACCCTTTCCAAGGCCAAAATATCTTTTTTGAGGTGAGGAGACCACATCTGTACACAGTATTCAAGATGTGGGCGTACCATCGTTTTATACAGGGGCAGTAAGATATTCTGGGTCTTATTTCCTATCCCTTTCTTAATAATTTCTTAATGCACCCTCATCTACCGTTAGCCTTCTTGGCAACAAAGGCACACTGTTGATACATCAGTGGTAGCTGATGGAGCATCACTCCTCAATCAGTGTGACTAGGGTGTGACTGTGGGGAGGGAACCAACCCGCAGTGATTGCTATCCCAGCAAGATGCAGCATTCTGGGTTCTACATGCTCCTGGAACTTGACTCAGTTCCCATTGAAGCCAATGGAAACCGTCCCATTGACATCAGTAGGAACTGGATGGGGCTGCAGGTGTGCCTGGGTTGTGTGATCACAAGCCTGCCTGTGGCACAAGTGTGCAAGAGTAGAGGGAAAGCGCTTTGCCCTGCACGTCTGCCCTCCCGCGTGTGCACTCTCCCAAGGCAAGAGGCAGTCCTTGTGACTTGGTTTCCCCACAGGCCTGGCCAGCATGAACATAGTGCTGCCTCGTGTGTCATCTCGGCTAATTGTTTTCCATATCCCAATAAGCACCACAGTTTTTTACATGTTCAAACCTGACACCTTCATTATATTGTGTCCTTCCTGATGTACCATTAAAACATTTCTGAGGCATGGTTTGTCAATCCTAAGTTCAGCATGAAATTGGGGACTTCTAAGAAGTGGGGAGGCTGGCCATGGTTGAAACCAAGTGAATTGATTCAGATTAGAGCGACTGGGACACGACTGGACCCAGTGTAACCTGTGTGAATTCAGGGTAGGAGCCAGCTGGTAATTCCAGAACCCTGCTAATGCCTCCACCCAGCTACTGTGTGCATTCGTGCTGACACCCTCCGCTCCCACATATTGCTTGCCATATGTCATGTCAGTCTCGCAGACACCTACCATAATTAGGGAGCTACAAATAGCCTGGGATAACTAAGATGACTGGGTGGTCTTGGCCTATGCATGGCTGGAAATTTACTTCAGTGGAGCTATGCTGGTTTACATAATCTGAAGGTTCGGGCCATCGCATTGAGCAAAAAAACGCTAACAGCCCTACCCAAAAGGGGACATGTGGTTCTTCCACAAATATTGTTGAGGAGCTAAGTGAATTTGTGTTGTGTGAGTTAACTGCTTTAACACATTTGATTGTGGGTTCCCAAAGGAAAACTGGAATTGTTCAGTGGGGTCTGTGAGCTATAATTATTCCCTTGACTAAAACCATAATAGTCGTACTTTGAGTAGATCTGTCTTGCAACTTTGTGTTACAAATATTGATCCATTTTTAGATTTAGCTTGTGAATACACCAGTCTCAGTCCCCTTTCTCTCACACCTTCCCTGAAAAGTATTGCTCATTCTCCACTAGGAGCTGGACTGGGCATAATTTTCACTGTTGCCAACAAAGTATGTAGATAAGAAAATATAAGGGCTTGAATATTGTTATTTATCCTGCCAGTGAAGCCTGGTCCAGTTCCATAAACCTCACAGTTTACCCTGAGAGATCTTATTGACTCTACAAAATTTGAATGTAAGTTCCTACTTGAAGCCACTTGGAACCTTGCAAGATCCTGACCTATGTTCAGCAGCAAAACAGGAGATTCTCTTGGCAGATAAATATTACAATGGCCAGGCTCTGCAGGACACCGCATAGCAAGCCACCTGCAACTTGTCTCTTTCTGACCCGACTGTTTTGTGTGTGTGTTTGGTTGCTTTAGCCTGACATCGATAAAGCCGTGGAGGCAGCGAAAGCAGCATTCCAGAGGGGATCTCTCTGGAGACAAATGGACGCTTTAAGCCGAGGAAGGCTCCTGCACAAACTAGCTGATCTCATCGAGCGAGACCGAACCATTTTGGCGGTAAGTATCATGTGGTGGGGGAGCAATAATGGAGACCGACTCCTTAGTTCTGTCCTCTGGTTACACTGGAGAGCTGGGGCTGGTGGTTGCTTGTGTTTATTGCCAATCCCCTCTGTAAGGAGACTTGTTTCCCAAGGTCCCACCGTGCTTGAGTGACATTTGAGCAGAGGGACTCTTGAGAGCGATGTTTAAAGGTAACTCTGCCTCCTTAAAGGGAAAAGCTCCAAGTCCCTCGCTCTTTTCAGTGCTTTGGATGAGGCCACCCTGGACCTTAGCATTGCAAGTGCAGCCTCCCCCCTTCAGACTTGAATAGTGCCCCCTGCATGTCCATCCACCATGTGAGGGTAACGCCCCTGGTTGACGGCTGACTTAGAAAAGCTGCCGCTCCTCCCACCGTTTGATCTCCCTGTCCCACGCAATGGGAGGGGAGGAAGCTTTTCCAGGCCAATGGGCTTGTCAGGAAACAGCAGCAGCAGAGCCGTGCCCTCTTAACTGGCTTCTTTTTGCTGTTGGATGGGTTGTTTATCCTCCCCTGGCCTCCCCCTCAGGTTTTGTCCACTTGGTGAAATACGGTTGACAACTGTCTAGCTTGCCTCTTCCAGCATGGAGGGCGGGGGAGTAAAGGAGGCTCAACGTTTAATACTTGTTTATACGTCTAGGTGTTCGGTGGGAAGGGGATTGCACTCACCTCTTGCAAGGCCCCCTGGCCAAGTGTGTGTACCCCCCCCTCGGTTTATGGAGACTCTCTTTGGTGACTCTGCCCTCTAGCTGAGTTACGCTAAGTCTGTGTGTGCAAAATAAAACCACCCCTTCCGGGGTATCCATCCTAGAACTGGAAGAGACTCAGGAGGTCATCCAGTCCAACCCCCTGCCCAAAGCAGAACCAACCCCGACTGAATCATCACAGCCAGTGTTTGTCAAGCCGGGACTTAAAAACCTCGAGGGATGGAGATTCCACCCCCTCCTTAGGTAACCCATCCCAGTGCTTCACCCCCCTCCGAGTGAAGAAGTTTTTCCTGCTATCCAACCTTGACCTCCCCCGGCCTGTAACTTGAGACCGTGGCTCCTGCTCACCGGAGAACAGCCTCTTGCCATCCTCTTTGGAACCTCCCTTTAGGAAGTTGAAGGCTGCTCTCAAGCCAACACGGCCTCTCAGTGCCCTCTTCAGTGTCTCTCAGTTTGTTCCCACCCTGGGACAGAGCAGTGCCCCCTGGACGTCCTCCCTGAAGGTAACATTTTTGCCATCCTAGGGCCCTTCTTGTTGCAGCCCTTTGGTTGGGTCACTAGAGTCCAAATCCTCCCCACTCCCCCTTTCAAGATCCAGGCCACTTCCCCTGAAGCTAATGGGAAGGCTGAGGGGCACTAGATCCCACACTCTTCTCCAGCCTGCAGGCTAGGGACCCTGTAGATAGCAGCTGTCTGCTATGCCTGATCTGCTGCTGCTCTGATTCCCTGGGATGCTTCCTCACAGCCCTGTGCTGTCTTTGCTGTGAGCTCCCCGTACTAAGCTGTCCGTGGCACGGCTACTCTTCCTACTAGCCACTCCTTGAGATCCACACAACAACTAACTGCTGCTTGGTTCTGCATTGCCTTTATATGGCTTTCCTGGCCCCTGATTGGCTGCTTCCCCTGCAGCCACTCTAACCTGCTTGGATGACCTCTCTACTGCCTTTTTTTTCTGGGATGGGCTGTGGCAACAGTTCAGTAGTCCATCCCAATTCAGTAAAGCACAGAAGAACATATGTGACGCTTTAGACATGTGTTTCAGTGACTGACTTCAATAGGGCAGCTGGCTTGTTTAGGTGATGCTGGACCAAACTGAGGCCCATGTGAGTAAAAGCTGGGCCAGCAGGGCCTTCGTCTACATGACGAATTAATGGGAAGTGGTGGGCCCCATTCATCCTTGGCTTAACTGCACTGATGCTGGGATGAATTCAAATCCCTGATTTGAGAGACTTTTGAGGTCATACGTCTGGGAAGTCAATGTCATGTATTCATACAGTGATCACACCCTTACTTGAAGTTAACATTGTCCTTACCTGTTTTGTGGGGTGCTAAATATTTTCCTAAAAAGTCCTACCGCAAATATCCCCCACTCTGTCTACAATTAGCAGGCAAAGACTGTTGGCTAAGGCTAAATGGTTCTATTATCCTTACCTTAAATAAGAAACTGTGTCTGTGGAATTCAATGGAAGAAACATCTGAAGAGAACAGCAAAAACAAAATTGTTCCCCATTCTGTATATTGGCAAAGGATGAGCTAAATAGGTCTGTGACTTGGGTCGACTTCTGTTCATTAGAACATCACAGAGGGCCAGTAACAATGGCAATAGGAAAACAGGACTGTCATTTTGCAGTAAACCACATCACACAGATTGTCGATGGGATTTAACTTCTTTATAGGAATTGAAATAAGTGGGAGAAAGATTTGTGACTAGTTTGAAATCTTCATTCACATCTATCTGTGCCCCTGGCTCTTTATAAAAATTATTCCACTGCGACTTAACTGCCCACAGAACCAATTCACCTGAATTGTGTGTTGCAACTCCGCCTCTTCCTTTCCCTAGAGAGATCAGCTGTACACTTGTGCATCTGCTCTGGAGAGATTTGTATGCCACCCAGCTGATTAGAAGTGCACCCACTGCTAGCTTGTGTGTTTTGTTTATATTGGTGGTGCACATTCACACATGCCTCAGTGCACGTAAAATTATTCCTCACACAAATGGGGAAGAAAATCCCCGCATTGGTAGAAAAGATTAGAGGGAATATTGATCCTTCTTCTCCCTGATACAGGGGTAGTTTATGCTAATCTTTTTGATGGTTGGGCAAGCTGGGACCAGGAGGAAAGACACCAGCTCAGTCATACGTGACAATTGTCAAAAATTAACTTTGGGCCTAAGACACACAGTTCTGGATTGGGTTTTGCCAGACTTTGCAGTGTTTTGGTCTCAGTAGCCAACAAAAGATTTTTTTTTAAGTTGTCCTTGTGGCACCTTTTCTTTCTGATGGGCAAAATTTTTCGGCTTGTTTTGAACTCTCGGTATCAAGAATGTCATGACTGGTCTTGTTTTTGCCAGAGGATTTGATGGGACTTCAGAGGATGTCTGTTAGCTCTCACACTTAACTGAAAGAGCTTTAACAAGAATTTCTCCAAAACATGAACTAGCCTTTGGTATTAAATAGGCATTTATACAAACAGTTCTTTTAAAACTGTTAATTTTATTTTTCTGTCTTTTCACAGTCTTCACTCTTATGGTGTCTTCCAGCTTAGACAGCATTAGACACATGCACTAAAATCTTTTGACTGTCTCTACGTTCCTCTGTAGTACAAAGAAGGATGCACATCTAAATATTTGCAAGTTACTCTTTTTAGAAGGAATAAAAAGGGTGTGGGAGAAATTGCTTTCTTCTGGTGCAGGATTTAAAATGCATTGTTAGGCACTCTTCATGAACATGCTGCTTGCAAAATGAAGCTTGACATAGGATGTGATGCTCTGTGAATTTGGATGCTCTTTGGTGTAAACAAGAAATATCATTCTGGAACAGAGTCTTGTTCTTGAAGAATGAAGCCTTGTGGTCAGTCCCTGGTCAGGAAGGACCTGATCCATAACCTGATAAAGTCAGTTCAGAGACTTTACTTGTCTGCTGTGGAACTTTCTTTTCTAACTTGGACCTGAGCCTAAACTCAAAACATATCTGATCTAACCTCCCTGAATTCCAGAAGGGCTTGTATCTGTACTCCAGCCAAATCCATATCAGCTCTGATTCAGCACAGCACTTGAACATGTGCTTAGCTTTAAGCACAGGCTCAAATTCATCCTTATTTAGCACTGCACTTCAGAAAATGCTTAAGTCCTCAGTGTGTCCACTGGAACTTAAGCACATGCTTAGAGTTAAAGATGTGGCACTTTGTTTCTGAAGTGAGTTAAGGCTTTTCCCTGAGAGCCTCATTGATCAGTCTTTATGGTTGACTTGAATCTCAATGATGAGTATAACCACCACCAGGCAGATTTGAACTTGGGACCTCCGGAGCTTAGTGGAGGAGTCTCCACAGTTTGAGCTATAAAGCCAGCTGGCTTCCAGCTTAGGCTGTAGAGCTCACTTGTTCTTATCTCTCGCCAGAAGTGGTCTAAATGCCACTGCATGGGAATGTGAACCAAGTCCGCTAGGTGTGTGGGTCCCATGAGCCCAACCAACCCCCTCATTCTGAACATCCCCAAAATCAGGAAAAATCCAGGTCTGCAGCCCTGTGGCTCAGTCTCAACACTACTGGGAACAAAACCATGTGTTTCTGCCCATCTTCATGGGCAGATCTTGTCTGCAAAAGGCCATGAGATTGAAACACCGCTTGCTAAATTGTTGGCATGCACGTGAGAGGATCTTGTTCCACGGCATAAACAAATCAGGAAGCTCAGTTGGAGCTTCCTGTAAGCCCCATGTGGAATTTTCAGACATTCCCACAACAGCTTTGATAGCTGGGTTATTTTTAGAAATCGAGGCACAGCTTGTTCCATCATTTTGGCAGATGCTGCTCCAGCCGGTTCAAAATCTGGGAAGTCTCTTCAATCTCTCTTTGGACCTCAGCATTTCGGAAGGCTGAATGTGCATGATTTCATCCTCAATTTACATTTAATTCAGCTGCCTTTTTATACTGGCTTTTTTCTGTTACTGTCCAGCTTGCATGGTGGGGAGTTGGGGAGATAGGAACGAGGCCTCTAGAGCTTGCAAGAAGAGGTTAATTGACTCAAGGCATGTGCTCTCCCAACGTGTTTTTTCCCATCATCCAGTGGACCAAAAAAGGCTTTTCCTAGATCACTTTGAACAGTGAGAGCCGGACTTTCATATCAAAGGAAAATGGGCCTGACTGTGCTCTCCATGTGGCCAGCTGGGATCCCCATGAGGGGAGCAATTAGAAAACCGAAGTCACACATCCAAGGTTGCCTTTCTTCTGAGCACAACCCAACCATGCCGTCCTCTCATGCTGTATCCCTAAAAGCTGCTGTTACAATGGAGTTACTTAGTGCAGCAATTTATGAAGTTCCTCTGGATCTATTCCAGTTCTATTGAGAACAGGTCTATGTCTACACTGAAGAAATAGTGTAATTTCCCCCTCCCCCCCACCCGTACAGTACTCTTACTAGCTTGAATAGAAACAGCACTGTTATTTGCAGCAGCTCATAACTCCTACTGCCAGCAACATGTGTTTCTACTGGTGGTGCACATCCACACTTGCCTTGGTGCACCTAACAACATTTGCTCTGCACGTGGATGGAAAAATTAGAGGGAACACTGTTGAGGAGGCGAGGTGAATACACACCATTTGGCTTCAGGTGGATATGTACTTGACGCAGCTCAGTCGAACCTCTGCTGCCACTATGCTATTTATACTCGCGCTAGTTCTCTCTGATGAGATGTATGTATACATCACACCCCTACGTCATTGTGTAGACACAACACCGAATTGTTCTAAAGTTAGACTTTTGGTGGGAGGAAGAGATCACCCCTTTCCATTGTGCAGGGTAGAAGAAAGATAAAACTTGTAGATTGCAAAAGAGATTTCCCCCTCCCCCCAGAATTTTTAAAAACAACAGCAACCCTCATCAATATTAACCGTATATAACCATGTGTGTGATTTGTTGTTTCAGACCTTGGAAACAATGGACACAGGGAAACCTTTTCTTCATGCCTTCTTCATTGACTTGGAAGGCTGTATAAAGACACTTAGATATTATGCAGGGTGGGCTGATAAAATCCAAGGCAGAACTATCCCGGTGGGTAAGTTGAATGATTCCGCTTGTTCACGTTTAAAAGCTCCTTCAGTCTGTGAAATTGAGAGAGAACCAGCTTAGGGAGTTTCCCTCCTGGAAAAGTCATTGCTTCCCCTCCCCCTAATTACTTGTGCCATGTTCTGTATGGAAAGCCATAGTGTTAGAAAAGTTATTTATTAGTTCCCATAATAGAAGAACTAGAGGACACCAAATGAAATTAATGGGGAGCAGGTTTAAAACTAATAAAAGGAAGTTCTTCTTCACACAGCGTGTTGTCAACCTGTGGAACTCCTTGCCAGAGGAGGCGGTGAAGGCTAGGACTATAATAGAGTTTAAAGAGAAGCTGGATAAATTCATGGAGGTTAGGTCCATAAAAGGCTATTAGCCAGGGGATAAAATGGTGTCCTTGGCCTCTGTTTGTCAGAGGCTGGAGAGGGATGGCAGGAGACAAATCGCTTGATCATTGTCTTCGGTCCACCCTCTCTGGGGTACCTGGTGCTGGCCGCTGTCGGTAGACAGGATACTGGGCTAGATGGACCTTTGGTCTGACCCAGTACGGCCGTTCTTCTGTTCTTATGTGTTGGACAAAAGGTTATATGCCTCCCTGGGCGGTTTGGAACTGCCCTGTAGTTGTTTGAGCGTTCTGTCCCTGGTTAGTGTGAATCCAGTTTCACCAACAGCACAGTCTATCCTTTCAGTGAGAGTGCGATGGAAATCAAAGCTCAAAGGATATTTTGAGTCCCTTCTTTGTTAGTTAAATTAGGTTGATTAGAGCGAGGCTGGATCTTGCTAGCTCAGATCTGTGGGTGATCACAGTATGTTCAGGTGTTGAATTCCTAAGGGGTTTGATCAAACTGTTTTTATGGGTATTTAGAAATAAATCAAACACTTGCCACTTGTTTCTTCAAACACCTCTCCCAGGGGTTGTGCCCAGTTTTGTGCTTCATTACACTCATGCCAGTGGCTTTAGTGAGGGAAGAATCTAGCTGCTCATGTGTGAGCACAGGTATGGCTTGGGGAGGTTTAAGATAACAAGGGTGTTTGCATGAAGTCAGTGAGCAGCTAATTGAAAATCAGCTGCCTGCTCCTTTCTTTTGCCCTGGTGATACCTGGTGGTGCATGGAGGAAAGAGTACCACAGACAAAGGTTAAAGACCTGCTCCTTCTGGTAGCTCTGAAGGGCAGCATTTACCCCTACTTCCCTGCCCCCTTTTGCCTGCCAGTCAGCATTGGCTTATCTGTAAGGATAGCAGAGCCCAAGCCTATAGCAAAGCCAGATATCTTTGTTACCCAAGCTCACTTTAATTTGCAGATCTGTTCTCTGCGAAGTCTGGCTCTTAAACTTATTTGACCTCTTCCAAAGTGCATAATATCGAGAACCCCCTGAAATGGAGTTTCATAGAAAATAAAAATTTTAACTGAAAAATTGCTTTTATTAAATTTTTGACAGGAAATTTCCACACTAAAATATTCTTTTTTGTTTATCAGAAACAAAACAGTTGCTCGAATCAAAACAAATTTTCATTTTTTTTTAAATCAAATCTCAAAAACTTTTTTTCATTTTAAGTATTTCTTCTGGAAGTTTGTCACAAAACTCTTGGTTCGGATTTTTCCCTGTGCCATAAACCTGTTGTCTTCCCCCACCTGA